GGGGCCGTACGCGGAAACCACGAACCCCCGGGGGCTGAATTTGAAATCTTTGAGTTCTACTTGGACAAGAAACATAGCTTTTCTGGTTTTCGAGTTAGCGATTTTCCCGCCACAACTTTGAGGCATTCGTACGCAGGGCCTAGACGTGCTTGAGGATTGGTATCGCGGTCCTGGGGTGGCACTTGACCGGGGAACCCACTTGCAAAATTTTAGCTCCGGAGCTTGCTTGGGTGCCGAGTTGAAATACCCGAACAGACGCACACACACACATACACACACACACACACACACACACACACCGGGATCGTCACAATATGCGTTTTCGCATTTGCATATATGCAAAAACGCATAAAAACTACAATAAAAAGCTGGGAACAAGCACTGAGTTTTGAAACGCGTTATTTAACAGGCCAATTTAGTAGTCCTCAAAAGGAGACTGTACATATGTGACGGTGAAGCAGTTATAAACTGATTTTGGCAGTTCAGGATGAACAGTCTGTGAGTTAGCCTAGCTTTTTAAGTGAAGACTTCATGTTAGTAAGCAGCATCCTGACCCACTAAAGACTTTTCAACAAAGACTTGTTGAAATATTTTAAAATAGTTTGGCGTGCTAGCATACTCGGATTTCTTTGATTCCCTGCTGGATGTCATGCTTCATAGCTTCTGGGTCCAGCTGGTTGTACATCTCTTCGACGTGTTTACTCGTCTCCACAATCTTTTTGAATAAATTATGCCGTTGCGACCAAATCGAAATTTCTCTGACGAGTTCCGGCACTACGAGAAAAGTGCGCCATCCTGAAGAATTCAGCACACTGGTTAACCAGGCATACTTCTTAAACAAAAGCCATTTTTAACTGTAAAAACAGAAAATTATTTTAAAAATCATTAGACTGGTCTCTTCAAGCTGAGTTTCTCGAGAGCCATTCAGTTATTTAAAACTTCAACAACATGACGGGCTCAAAGTCTGAATTTGTGTGAACAAAAAATGCCTTTGGTTTTCTTCGACTTCAGTACATCGCCAAAAATATGATCACCAATGTACAAAACATCTTTGTCACGAGCATTGAACAAACGTCGGAAATCATCCGAATTGCCTGAACCACACCATTCAATTTGTAAAGGGAAAGCAAATTTGCACAACAAAAGCATTCTTCCGGAAATCTGCATTACACGAAATTCTAGGATGAGCTGCACCTGTAGGAAAAACAGGTTAACTAGTAATCCTGTAGCAAATGCCAGGTTCACAGCAAACGATGCAACACTGCTCAAAGCATTGCACAGCTGGAAGACAGCTTCTGAAACTAAAGCTAATCAACCTACCAAAGTAAATAGTAGATCATTTAACCAAGAGGCCTGTTTGAATATTTTATAGGACATATTTTCAGATGTTCAACATTGAATTCTAGTGCGGCCCATATCACTAGAGGGGCACAAAGTTTACTTTACTCGCCACACACGGGTTGGAGGGACAGAAGTTTAAAGGATTAAAATAACAAAAACTGCGGGGAACTATGCAAAAAAAGCATCTTCGTACCGGCAGCCCGTGCATTGGCCATTATTTTAAAGGATCTTAAAGGATTGTCGCTACCGGCATTGGTTTTTTACGGTAAATCGTTCTAGCTGAACAAATTAAGACTGGCCGCCAGAACTGGCAGGAAACACCCCTTAAAATTTCAGCTTTCTAGTTTTCCTGGCT